GACAGGGTCTCACTATGTAGTGAGACTGACCTGAACTCACTATGTAGCCCAGGCTGGTCTCGAACTCATAGCGATCCTCCTGCCTCAGCCTCCGGAGTGCTGGGATTACAGGTGTGCGCCACCACGCCCGGCTTCAAATAGATCATATAATGCCAACTGAACAATGAAGTGAGGACTGAGGCTTTCCTAATGACGTTAGCAAGAAAGTGGCCATTGGTGGTCTTGACTGGAATGGAGGGAGGCAGAAGCCTTAGAGGAATGGGCTGGCTACAGAACTAGAAAACAGTAAGAAAAGGAAAGTGTATTTAACTCTTTCCGAGAGCTTTGTGCCAAGAGGGAACATAGGGACAGTTGCTAGAGAAAGATACTGTGTCAAAGGAGTGGTCTGTTTTGAAGTGAGCACTCTTTTATTTATTTTTTAAAATAGGAACAAAATGATTTAGTAATGATAGGAGGGAAATAGATTTGTCGTGAGATTAAAGGAAGAAGTGTTAGAGGAGTATCCATCAGAGAGATGGGGCCTGAGGGACGGCTATGCTGTTGGGCCTAAAGGATTTAATCTCTTTAAGTGGGATCCTGCCTTTTCCGCTAACTACTTATTGGTGTTTTCAAATTTATCATATAGTACTTTATCTTGGAAGTTAAGAAAGATAAAAAGCAATTAAAGCTATTGTATATAAAACTTAGGTATTGGACTGTTGTCAGCTTAGTATAGTAGGGGAAGAGAGGAGATTGAATCTTCTGGGTAAGGTGACATTTTAAAGTGTCTTTGAGTGATAATTATCTGTGCTATTCTAGTCCCTTATCAAAATTTATGATTGAGCACAGGCTATAAATTTAATCATTTGAATTTTTTAGTGAGGTGAATTAAATTTTAGCCTAATTTAAAAATGATCCAGTATTAAATTTTTTCTTTCCAAAATTTGTTTATTTAATGTAGGCTCTTCATATACAAGCTTTTAGATACTTTGTAAAAAGTACTTCAGAAGTAGTTATTAATACTCTTATTTATAATATCTTAAATTTCATAACCATATCAGAAATCTGAACAATTTGTTTCTTTGCCAGCTCTAATTAAAGTAGCTACCTGTGAAGTTTTGGAGAGGTGAACAAGTCTTCAATTTGCGAAAAAGTGGTCTGAAGCTATGTTAGCAAAATAACATTCATTGCTAAAAGAAAGAAAACTAATTTCATTTACTACAATTTACTTTTGAGTGTATTTTTCAAGAACAAATTTAAATTTAAAATTTTTAAGCAAATGAAGTTTTGAACAACCTTAGTTACATGTATAAAATGTATGTGAAAAATTAAGTAGATTTCTAATCAGCTTAACACAAAGAAATCAGACTTGCATTTTAGATTTAGATCCTGTTTGTATATCAAGTATTGTTGTTACTCAGCATTATTAAGTTATAGAAGTAAAATACTGGCTTTTCTTCTTTTATCAGTTTCCAAGTGGTAGCCATTTAATCAGCCTTCAGAAACATTTTGGGGATTTCAAGCAGTGTCCTTAGTTCCAACACTCTAGAAGTTTGAAGGAGGAGGATTGCATGTTTGAGCCCTGCCTGAAAAACTTGGTGAGACCCTGTCTCAAAAATTTAAAGGAAAAGAAAAGGGCTGGGAATTTAGCTTAGTGTGAAGTGATTTAGCTTAGGGTTCAATCCTTAGTATTGCCTCCCTCAAAAAAAAAGAAAAAAAAAGAATTACGTCCTAAAATAATTTACTCTTTTGGTGTATCTGAACCTTTTTGCATATCTAATCAAAGCTGTGGACCCTCCTTGAACACTGTACATGGGCTCATATGTACAGAGTTTAGTACCGTTTCGGCAACAAGCCTCACTGAAGCCCACTTGTGGGTAAAAAATTTCAGGTTTTAAAACCTACCCTAGATGACTTACGTGATTTTTTTCTTTAAAACTTTCTATGCAAGGGCCAGGGATGTAGCTCAGTGGTTTCACCATCTGCCTTGCCAAGCGCAAGGTCTCAAGTCTATCACTGATAACAAAACAAAAAAACCCAACTTTATATGCAAACTTTTCTAAAAGTGTTTCCTTGTGATTATTGTAGTTTGCTGCTTCTAAGAGTAACTCCTGCTGCAGCTTAAGCAAAAGTAAAGGGTAGTGGGAAAGTGAGCACAGTCAGAGGAACCTCAGGGTCTATAAGCTCTACTCTGACTTTGCCACCAGCTGCTAGAAGCTGAGTGACCTTTGAGGAAGTTGCTTGACCTCTAAGGCGTCACTTTCCTATGTGACATCTGCAGTCCGTATAAGCAATTTTAAGAGCAGTGTTGCGGTATTGTGGCTTCATGGTAAAACTCTTCTTTAGTTGAGGATTATGTCTCTGTTATAGAATTATGATGCCCTGGAGGTAAAGTATCTCCATAGATTGTGCTGCCAAACTGTATATGACTTTTCAGAAAAGTTTGTGTGCTCATACTTTCTCAGATGCTATATAAATAGGGGTTAAAATCCCATGCTATCCTGATCGCTTTGACTTTCTACATATTTATAGTTCTGGGTATATGCTTTTGTCGATTATATGTATTACAATTATCTCCAATTCTGTGGCTTTTTCACTCTCACTAATTTTTGTTGTGGTTTTGTCTCGGATTGATAGAAATTTTTAATTTAGTTTAGTCCAGTTTATCACTCTCTACCTAAAATTTACTTCCTAGTCAACAGTGTGGATAAAAATAGTTTTAGAAAGTCATTCCTGTAACAAAACAGTGCTCTGGGAGATAGATGCATGTGAGTTCCCGAAAAAGAAAGTCCTAGTAGAGAAGAGAAGCCTTGAAAAGCCAGCTTAAGTGTCAGTCCATTGACGTACATTTATTATGTGCTGCGTACTCTTTAGACATCTTTTCAGTGGGACTGAGTCCAATAGGTAACTGTAATGTTAGGAATCTACTTTTAATACTTGCATCACTATAGACTTTGTGTAATTTTTATTTTCTTTTATTAAAGAGGAAATTTTGGGGGGGTACCAGGGATCGAACTTGGGACCTTTGCTTTGCGGTGGCACCAATGAGCTACCCCGGCTGTGATTTTTCCTTTACTTGGGAATCGTTCTAATCTTGTTGATTAAAATGATCATTTAGTTGGACCTAACAACTTTAAAAAAGACTAGTGCTAAAGAAAACTATAGAACATCAAATTGAATTTTTCTTTTTCTTTTTAAAAAAATTTTTATTTTTTGAAACAGAGTCTCACTATGTAGTTTAGGCCAGCCTTGAACTATGTAGCCCAGGTGATCTTCCTGCTTTAGCCTCCCAAGTGTTGGGATTACAGGGGTGTGCCACCATGCCCAGTGATTTTATTTTGTAAATGAGTGCTAACTGGATGAATTGGGACCCTTTTAACCAATTTTGCTCTGTGTTCGGTATAACTGTACATGATTAAACAAAGATTTATAATCTGGATGATGCGAAGATTTTTTTTGAAGTATGCCCTGAAGAAATGAGACACTGGAGTAACATCAGTCAAAAACATAGTATGTTTAAAGTGGAAGAGAGACACTTGCAGGGCATGACATATGGAGTTTAAGTAATTTAATGCTAAAATGTTAGGGATAAAATTCCAATTTTTGTTCCCTGATAATTGCCTCGGGACACCAAAACCTTGATTTTCTTTCTAGCTTTATCACTGATTAGACGTGTGGCATAGAGGGAAAAAAGATCAGTTTTGTGTATGTGGTTTACAATTTAAAGTGGTGAGGTATTAAGAATGTAAATGAAAGCCGGGTGTGGTGGCACAGGCCTGTGATCCCTGTACTCAGGAGGCTGAGGAGGAGGATCACTGTGAGTTTGAGGCCAGCCTGGACCGCATAGCAAGACCCTGTCTCAGGAAACCAAAAAATCAATAAATAAAGAGTGTTAAATGAAGAGTTCAAAATTCTGACTTTACTATATTTTTACATACATGTCTATTATTTTATGCATTATGTAACACTGAATTTGAAAGCCTTATATAAGACAAACACATTTCAAGATTAGTTGGAAAATGACCTTTCAAGTGGACCAAACCATGTACTGACGATGCTAGTTTAATTTGTTGATATAAAGCAGTAAACAGTGAAGGCCACTTGTGGGGGACGTGGATGTAGTTGTGTGTTATATAGATGTGGTGTATATTATTTCTGTGTGTTTCTTGGAAAAGAAAAACTATCTATTATAGTTGAACCTTGAACAACATGAGTTTGAACTGCCCATGTCCATGTATATGTGGATTCTTTTTTTTTTTGAGATTTGTAACAATTTGAAAAACTCACAGTTGAACTACATATCCTAGAAGTACTGAAAAATTTTTAGAAAAAAGTCGCAAATGTGTAAGATATATGTAAATAAGTATTTTATCATTTGTTACTATTAAATATATATGAATCTTTTGTAAAAGTTAAAACATGAAGCCATTTACAATCAAGAGAAAAGTAAACAAACAGATGCAGTATTAAACCACGCCTGCATAAATGAAGTGTGGTGCGTACTGTACTGTGGGAATAATCTCATAGGCACCTCCTGTTGCTATGCGGTGTGAGAGCTCAAGTGAAAACACTGCATGACGCTAATCATCTCCGTCTGAGCAGGTCATCTCTCCAGTAAATTGCTTGTCTTGCAGTTATCACCTATATTTCACCGTATTTCTGTACATTATAGATAATGTATAAAATGTGTTAATCGACTCTCTAAGTTTTTGAGGAGTCAAAAGTTATGCTCTGATTTTTTACTTTGGTGGGGAATTGTACCCCTCACTCCCAGGTGGTCACCACCCCCTACATTGTTCAAGTGTCAACTGAACTTTCTTCTTGGTCTTGAAAAACTATGATAAAACCAAAACTTAACTGCTTTTGCATTCTTTGCTATGAAAAAAAGTGTTTTTTTTTTTTAACATTTGGAGGCTGTGTTTCAGTTTTCTTAAAATCAGAAATGTTTGAGTCTTCAGCGTTTGATGAACATGTCATAAATCTGTGGTCTAATTTCATTTTTTCCCCTCCTTCTGTTATAGGGGGCTGGAGAGCTGAGGGAGAGCCAGTTTCCCCAAAATTGGTAAGTAACTTTGTCTAGGCAGGCAGAGTGTACTTGATCCTAGCTGGATAATAATTCAAATATTCAGGCATTTTGTTGTCTGTACAAAAAAGTCTTTCTCCCAGACATGAGGCTTTGTTGTTAGCACTGACAGAAAGTGAATTTTTGTTTAATTTCACATGGCCATATCTCAAATGCATTTGTACCTCTCATACTACTGCTAGGCTTGCATGTTCGTTTGTTGATAACCTGTTAAAATGTAAAGGTCCCCTTGGCCAAAAATGTCATTAATGAAGTGGTTAGGGCTGACAGTTTGAAAATCAGTAAAGTAGGGGCCAGGGATTTAGCTCAGCGGTTCGGTGGCCTGCCTTGCAAGCGCAAGGAACCGCGTTCAATCCCCGGTACCAAAAAAAAAAAGAAATTGAAAATCAGTAAATTCAAAGTTAAGCTTCCCATTGTATTTTGTATTACTCAAAACACTGTTAAATTTGATGGCCTTCATATATATGTAAAATGACTAGGTTAATGTAACTGAGAATCGTGACTTTGAAATTCAGAACCGTTAAGTATTATATTCTTAGTATTAGATTGGCTTCATGTGTGATACCATGTTTTTAGTGAGTGTTGTTTTATATAATTCTTACAGAAAACTAAGGAGAGAGAGAGAGAGAGAGAGAGAAATATAACAGTGTAGGGTATTTTTTCCTTATATCTATTTTAATAGATTTTATAATGACTTTAACTCATCACACTTAATCATTTCTTTGAATGTCTAATTCAAGATCAGAGATTATACAAGGCAGTCTTAGTGACTAAGCACCAAACAGTTATCACCCTTATTTGGAAAGTGTGTATTATGAAAAAAATTATACAAGATAGCTGGAATAGTGTACTCCTAATGTAAGAGTGCTTTTAAAAAAATTCTCTCAAATAGTAATTAATGTAAATGATTAGGGTAGGTACAGTAGATGTTTGGTTAAGGTTTCTTTTTGATAATTAATGGTCCTTGAGGTGTCTCTCTTACCTTTTTAGGGATTGGGCTTTGAATGTAAGAGGAAGACACTTGAATTGGCTAACTGTGCATTTTACTTTTTAATTCCACTGGCCTTTCTCTTATGGAATCTTTTAAAATAAATAAACAGGATACTATTGCCCTTTTAATTTGTGGTGGGTTAGAATCATAGACTCTTAAAGAAGTGGAATTTAAAGGTCTTTTTATCCAGCATTCTATCTTGTGTGGCAGTTTCTTTTTCTATAATCCCTGACAAGTTATTTATTTAGGAACATATTGATTACTACATTAAAAAAGGAGGTCATTATTTTCTGTCATGTATTTTGAGAAACTCTAGTTCCACAGAAACTGAATAAATATTTCCAAGGTGGGGCTGGGGTGGGAAAAGGGTTCTGTGGTCAAATAATTTGGGAAACACTGTGTTAAACAAAGTTAAACAGGTTTCTTTACTGCAGGACTTCTCAGAACCTTTAATATGCTAATGTGCATTGTGAATCTCCAAGAGGGGGATATGATATGCAGCATTCTTGAATACTTCTAATGACAGGGAGCCCACTACCTCATAAGGTAACCCATTCCTTTTTTGTACAGCTATAATCCTTAGTTCTTCCTTAATTGATTTGAAATCTATCTCCCATAAGTTCTATTACGTATTAATCGGTTATGCTGAGACCACCATACCCTGCTGTGTTATCTGTCCTTTGTGTGGTATATATTTACAAGATTCTGGCCAGGCTTGTCTGGATACCTTTTTACTTTTTAAAATTATTAACGTTCGGGTAAATGTGGCAACCAGTTGTAAAATCTTAATCTCATTGTCACTATGCTGTTATGCACTTTACTCTTGGCCTCCTTCATTTTGAATCTCTGTAAATGTAAGCATTTACTTCAGTGTTCATCTTGTTCAGTGTGGCTCAGACAGTTTCAGTGGACATGCTTGATTGGGAAGTAGAAGAATGCATGCGTGCAGACAGCCTGGGCCCCAGAAGCTGAGGGTGAAACTGTTGGGTGAACACTGCCAGGGAGGGAGCGATGGAGGCCACTGCTGCAGACCTGCAGAGGAGCGCCATGGAGCCTTGGACCGCGTAGGTGTTCGTTTTCCGAAAAATTAGGACTTGCCCCACCCTCCCAAATCTGAACAGACAGGGGGAAAATACTATCTAAGAGTTTGGAAACATCTGACTAACTGCGGTGATTTTTGTTAACAGCTATCATACCAGGGTTTGAGCATAATAACCTTGCCATATTCAAAGAGTGAGCAGCCTCTAAAATCAGAGCTGCCAGACCCTCATGGAGGGGCTTTTTCTGTTGATCTGTGGAGTGTCACCAAAGAAATACATCATGAAAACAAGGCAGGGTGTGTTGAAAATTTCCTAAACAATAAGAGAACAGTAAGTTTTTAAATGTCATTTGATTCATGTTAATAAAGGTTAACTTCTTCAATAAGTGTAAAATCATTGTATTATTTTTAGCATCCATGGTAATTTTTTAGCACTACTAGTTTTGTCTCACTGTATGCTAGATACAAACTAAGAAATATTCTGTGGCCAGGGGTGTAGCTCAGCACCACGGTGCCTGCCTGACAAGCACAAGGTCCTGAGTTTGATCCTCAGTAGTCCCCCCAGCAATAAAAGAAAGAAATATTCTATGAACCTGTACTAATAAATATAAAAACTTGAAAAAAAAAGGAATATTTTGCACAGGATGAAACCTTGTATCTGAGTATCAGGCGTTGGCCAAGATATAAGGATACATAGACCTGTCTGTCATGACTTCACTTTTTCCTGCTTAAAAATGATTAGGTCTTCTTTAAATATTGCGTCTGAGAATATAGACAGAGGGATTTTACCATAAAGAAATTCATGTTATAGAGAACAGCAAGCTGTTTTTAGGGACAGCCTGAGGTAGTCTGCTACATACTTACTGTTAGTTAAAGTGACTTGGTTATCCAGTAAAGTTTTGATTAGAGCAAGATTTGTGTCAATTTAGCAAAATATTTCTTAGCAGTAAAACCAGAATTATGGCTTTCCTCCAAATTATCATAATCATAACAAAAGACCTGGACGTCACATATCTCCAGGCAAAATTATCAGAAATGTACTTAAAGCCCACCCCCACTTTAGAGACTTACAAAGTTTGAATACAGAGTTTTAGTACAGACTTCGAGGAGTTAACTGTGTAGGAATAGCATAAAACTTTACAGTTTACAAGGGGCTTTTTGTACAACAGTCTGTGAAACAGGTGATATTCCCCCCCCCCCCCGTAA